ATGTATCATATAATATATATATAACGTTCACTTACTGAAAAGTTGTATTCCAAATGTACAAAGACTCTCGTAATTTTTGATTGTGATTGGTGGAAGTGATTCAATCATTAAATCGAACATATCTTTCATAAATTTTAATAGTTTCATTCTATCTCTTAAATATTTTCTATCGTGAATATCTCCTGTTCTAACGACCTCACCAGCTAGTATTTTTCTTGAACTATTACGAAGTTTTAGTAATATGTCAATCTTCCTGCCCTATTATTATTAAAAAAGAAATTAATTAATTAATTCGAACTATCTACATGCACAATATTGCAGTTTTAAAGGTTCATTACACAAATAACGGATTTTTTAATTTTTCTTTTTTTGTTTTTATGCATTTTTGATGCATACGAACCATCCTCTGATCTATAAAAATGAAAAATATGGACTTAATCACTAATATTATAAGAATATTATAACAATTTTTGTTTGAATACTGACGACATACTTTCCAATTTTTGTTTCTTCAATGTCCTTTAATGCCATATTGACAATAAAAGTCCATATATGACTTACAATCCATGCTTCCAAATTATCGTCTGCTAATGCATTTACGCCTTGTTCCCATTCAATAACACTATATCAATAAAGAGAAGAAATCAGTCGCGAATTAAAAATATTATATAATAATGAGAGTTAACTCACAATTTATTGAATACTAAGTGAATCCACTCCAGATCATAATGTAACTTTGGATTATAGGTCTCCATGTTTTCCAAATATGATTCCATGACGATTTGTTAAAGATCGCTGACATTTTTCTATAGAGATTTAGAAGATTTATGAACAAATATCTCAATTCAGACAACCTTTATCAAACAGAATACCTTGTAATATTTCATGACATATTTTTTAATATCATCTTGTACGGCTGGAAAAGACTTTTTATTAGTATTTAAAATTGTCTCCTTTTCCTCAGGACTAAACAATCAGTGTCTAATATAAAAGAATGTGCAAGTCTTAATGAAATATTTAGACAAATAAATGATTAGTCATTACATATATATTTAATAACCAATATTATCAATGCAATGAATGCAGTATATCTACGTTTCAGAATGGTGAGTCACTGCCCAATAATATAAGACATCTTCTACAAATCTACTCGAAGGAAGTTTCCATTTGTTATCCGCATTTATTGCCTTAAATCTCGAAATAAAATTATCAATCAACTTTTTCTCCAACTTCATTCTCTCCTTGGCCTTCTTGTCTTTATTGCCATTTTCGTTGACATCTTCGTTGATATCTTCGCCATCATCTTCATCGATATCTTCGTCGACATCCTCGCCTTCATTCTCATCATCATAGTCATCATCTTTGTTGACATCCTCGTCTTCATTCTCGTCGTCACTTTCGTCGTAGTAATCGATTTCATCATATTCATCATCATAAACCTAACATTGGAAAAATTAGAGATATCGAAACAGGAAATATTGACTAACAGCATTTTACATACCACTTCATGGGTTTGCTTGCTAGTATTATTCACTCTTTTTGAATTTTCGGCATAATTTATTCTGTTTATTTTTCTCAGTGATCTTCTGATAAATGGATTGCTGTTCGTTTTAACTTTTCCCTGTTAACTGTTCTGTTGACTCCATTTACAGCTCCTATTCGCTGGTGTAGGTGAACTTGTTTGCGTACACATTCCTTTTCCCAGAATTTCACGATATCACGATCTGTCCTAGGATTCTATTTCAAAATTTTTGAAAATTAGTAGAACTTTTACTCATATTTTAATTTTCATCCCATTAAAGCATCAGGTAACCGAGCAGGCCACCTGATCCCAATGGGTCCAGTGTTAGATCGGTGAATAGCCTTCCTTAAATGGCAAGTAACTGAGCAGATTACTTGTGCTCTAACACTGGCTTGTGGCTCAGCGAACAGCCTTGAATGACAAAAGACTGAGCAGGCTTACGATTGTCACGCCACCATTGTAGCGGAAAGTTTTTACTTGCCTCACGATATCTGTCAAGAAGCTGACGTGCTTTTTGTTGTCTCTTTCCTCGTATCATATCAATGATTTCAAGATCTTTAATATAAGCGTCTATTTTCCTATCGAATGGTTCTATTTCGCATTCATTTAAAAATCCGACTATTTTTCAATCTTTATATTTGCGATTGAAATATTTATGTATTTTATTAATGGACATCGTGACGGACACGTTTACAAGCTAAAAAAAAGTATATTGGATAAAAATCATATGTCGTGACCAGATCTCGTGACTGATAAAATTTTCACTTTGCATAGAAATATGTCCTTCAGACAATAATGATAGACACGAATATTTCGCTGGAAATTTATCAACATAACAGATAACCAAATGATACACATTGGGGGATTGTATGCTTTGTACAATTAATAATCATTTTTATTCTATCCAGAATATTGAAACTGGAATCATAATAATGTTACAATAAATAAAGCAAAGGCGTATTAACACGATTTTTACATAACAATATTTTTTCGTGTGATTAACCTTTTGAATATATTCATATCTTAAATAAAATAATGGCAAGCGCACAATCCACAGTTGATTCATTGAAGGAATTGCATTCTAGATTTATAGTCAAAATCGATAAACTTAGAAAAAAGAATACTGATATCAAATCTGAAATATAAAACTAAAACAAGATAAAGAAGAAGTTGAAGCCAGATTCACAAATCTAGAGTAGAGAGATAAAGAAAAGACCAACCTTATTGTTAAACTGAAACAGAGCGATAAAGAAAAAATTAACCTTATTGTTAAATTGAAACGTGATGTCTCACTAATTAAGAGTAGAGCTTGTAAGACAAGGGTATGGCATATTATCAAACTGTTGCTAATGTTTCAAAGGCTCCAATAACTGTTTTTCCTAAAATAAGTTCTAATCATATTCCTAAACAAATGATCTTGCGAAATAAAGACGCACTGACATCTGATGTATCAGATAATGCATTGAAATCTGATTTATATCAGCCTATTTGCATGAAATCCAAATTATTAAAAGGTAAAGATATTGATAAATTCTTGAATTCTGTAAATAAAAAAAGGATTAGAAATGAAATAAGAGAGAGAAAAAGAAAAGAAAAGCTTCAAAATCAAGAGTTGTTCTCAACTTTTGAGAATGCTACCAATATTTCTCATAAACAGAATATAAAATCTCAGATTTCTACTACACATAATAAGAATGTTTCTATATCTGAAGCAGAGAAAATGCCATCTAATTATAATAAAGATCTAAATATTGTAGATGCAAGGCTTTCTCCAAAATTCCCTACAATCAGAAAGTAGAACAAGGTTTAATATGTGAGTTATTTGAATTTATTAAAGGTACTGATTTCATATCCTTACAAAATCTAAAGAAAATCCCATTAAATTTTATCTTCATTAAACAAATTTCAAATATTCCTATTAATATAGATTTAATTCTTGGTTCTGTATCTCATTTAGTATACTTATTTAACAAAGCTAAAAAAATTGAATGAAAAGAAAAATTGCAATGATATTATTATAGTGAGGAATATGAGAAAAAAGTTTTAAATCTAAGTTTAGAAAAAAATATTAGTGATAAAATAGTAAGAACGCAAATTTATGATGAAATGATATAGTATTTACCTAAAATCAAGAAAGAGTATTTATGTAAGATAATTCAAAAAGCTAGAACTATTTATACATTATTCAAAGAGATAGGAAAAGATAAAATTAAGTATATTACATAGTGTTGATGCTATTTCTAGTTTAATCAGTACAGAAATTCAAAATATTATAAATCTTTATATGAAAAAATTTGATGCGAAAGTATTATTGTTTGAATTCAAAAATTGATCAACGTGAAGAATTCTTCACCTATATGTGACCAACAAAAAACTAAAGCATGTGAAGAAATTTTACCAGAAACAGAAGTAATACTATAATCATTTTCTCTATCCCATTGTCTCATAGTTTTATTTTGGAAGATGCGGTAATATTCATCCTGAATATGATATAAAATATATTGTATCATATATTGGAAATTATTTTACTTTTGATAAAAAATGATACAACAAACTCTTCGATAATGAGAGATTATTTAATACTTTATCTATTATTAGAATGAAACATCAGTCCAATAGGAAATATGGTCAGAGTATCATTACAGAATTTATTAAAAGCTGAAAAATTTAATATATATCATTAGCTATGTTTATTTGCATCATTTGGTAAAGGTAAATTTAATAATTTCAATTATTATAGGCTAAGAATTCACAAAAGTCATATGGCTATTTGTTTTGGTTATTAGAAACTTATAAAAATTGATAATAAATAGCCCAAAAATTATTTCATTTTATTTAGACAAAGATATTTTAATCATCTTGTATCTAGTAATCTGATGATCAGTTATTGGAATAATGAATGTAATAAACTAAAGACTGATTTTGAAAAAGCAAAGATTATACAAATAACTTAGAGAAATTACAAGAATAGACCTGAGTCATTAGCCACTCAAGTTTGAAATGCTTTAAAAATAGATGATTATCCTAATGATAAAAAGTTTTTAAGCATAACTCCTCAAAAGGTAAATCGTTCTTCTGGTTATGATTATATTGACTATAAGTTTAAATGTTTATCTTGACATTCTAATAGTCCTAAATTGTGGACAGAATCTAAGAAGAATCTTATAGGCTATATGACTATGTGATAAATTTATTGTAACAAATGAATATAGATTAATTAGTGATAGGTCTTAAAATGTGATACTACGATAGGTAGATAATCCTGATCAATATCTTAATAATGGCTGTCAAGACTTTGTCAAAATATAACTATTTTACATATCTATTTATTATATAACTTTAAATAAAACCATCTAAGGTATCTTTGAGAGCTAGTACTTTAAACTTTTATTTACTGCTATTTTGTGATAATTAATAGTTTTTTTTACTTTGATTTTTATTTGTATATATTTTATGAGGCACAAAAAAATCCCTAGTATAAATAACAAATCATGTTTGTTATTTTACATCTACTTTAGCTACAAATCAGCAGAATTCAGTCAGCTCTTAAAATAGAGTGACAGATAAGATATATATATTATATTATTATATTAATAAATAATAGGAGAAAATAATTATTATTCTATTATTTTAAAATTACATTCTATCTATCTAATTTTAAAGGTGTATCCTAATCCTTGCAAAAATATAGAGCATCTTTTTTCGCTTTAGTTAAATTGATAACAATAAATTCTCTACCTTGCAAATTTTTATCAAGTATATCAATAACATCACGTTAATTTTTTGTAAATTTATTAAATATTATATTCATATAAAATTTGTAATGCCTATGTGATTAGGGTTAGACTGGTCTAGTCTGATCTAATCCAAAAAGACCAGTCTTTTATTTTTCTTAGAACCTGATCAGTCTATAAGTCAATCTTAAGACCAGTTTGCATTATTCAGTTCTACCAGTCCGGTCTAGTTCAAAATATGGTTTCCTTTTCAGTCTAGACTAATTTATAAGACTGTATATAGTATTAAAGTTTTAATTTTATAGAAAACTAAAATAAATTTTTTTTATAAAAATATTTAAATTATATAACTAAATAAAATTGTTTAAAACTGTATATATAGAAATAAATATTCTGATATATACATATTTAATGATATAAAGTATAAAAAGTTAATTATACAAAATGGTTACTGTGTTTTCTTAATCTCTATTTTCATTTAGAATATTATCGTTACAGTAAAATATTAGAATTAGTTCAAAGACTGACTTATGGACTAGTCCGTTTCATAAGAAAGATGAAAACTGGACCAGATCAATTTAACTATAATCTTATAAATAAAATAGTATTTTATAATATTAATCCTTAATTTAAAATATATATATACTATAAATAATAAAGGATCAGTTTATACCAGTCTTCAGAATATGGACCGAAGACTGCAAAGACCTTTCTTCATACCATAATCCATAAGTTTCAGGCCATTAACCTCTTCATTTTCTAAGATTTTGATACCTAGCTCATTAAGTCTTAAGTTCTCCTGTTCCTGTAAAAATTTTATAAGCTTCAGACAGGATTTCTTGCACAAGTAAAAATTCACTCAATATCTGTTTTGTTGAAACTACTTTGAAGAAGATTCTAAGGATTAAAAGGAGTTATGTAAAAATGTGAAGAGGTGATAAAGGTTATTATTAAGTTATTGAGAAAGGATAGATGTTGAGAAGAAGCTGGCAATGAAAAAGTAATGGGTTCAAAGATTTTTTGAAAAGAAATATTATGTATATTAGTATTCGCATGTATCTTGAACTATATTCAGCTGTATTTACTTTTACATTGTATAACGCTACTATTGTTTTAATAAAATCCGTCTTCTTACACAAAAGTTTCAGCTGTGTCAATTTAATTTTATACTTAAAATTAGTTACCTCTAAGTTAATATAAAAATGCCACAATACTGTCAACAAAAAGAAGTTTCATTTAGTTAAAAAGATTCAAAAACTTCATGCTATTGTACTATACATAAGCCAGCCAGTCAATCCGTGTTTTATATTTCATTCTTATTCTGTAAAAGCCTTATATTCACAGAATTAATAATCATATATTGTGAAAATTTATCAGATTGTTAGTGTTTTTTATAAATGACTCTGTAAAGGGCTCATTTTTTATGGAATTTTTATAGAAATGACAGATAAAATTATTTATAGGGTAGTTGATTATATCAATATAAAGATACAGTGTCAAGAAAAATAGCTGTTATAAGTTTCCTCTAATCTATTTCATTGGATCAATGTGCATCACTCTACAAGGGAAATTGTCTCAAATAAGAAAAATAATTACACAATTTATTAATTTTTTTTTTATACAGTATATAATACTTTCTGAAGGATTATCTATTTGCATTTCTTTAAATGAAATATAGGTAAGATTTCTAAGCAAATTTGAAGCTTTCTCACTGACCTATTATAATATAATTTGAATCCCTTTGAATCCCATAACCTTTATATTACTATTAACTGTTTGAAAACATATCTGAGAATAAGTATTGTATAGAATGCCAAACCACTAAGTCAACCAAATTTCATTTATTAAAGAAAGAAAATGGAAAAAAGTGGCAAAGAATGATTTAATAAAGGTAAGTTGGGTGGAGAATAGTATTTTTTGTAATATTTGTCACATGTGACTTATAGAAAATCCTTTAAAAAAAGGTATTAAGAGAGCAAAAGTTACGAACAAAGAAGCTATAAATGAAAATGTCTCAGATGTAGCTGAGAAATAAGCGAGTAAGAATGTCAACCTCACTTGAGCCATCAAAGTAATGGCAAAAATCCTTTATGAAAGAGAGCAATCAAGAAAAGAAGGTCTTATTTATGTATTTGACGAAATGCGAAAAATACTTCTGGAAATTGAACTGAGCTTGACTGATTTTTTTGATCAACTCTATTTAATGGTTTGACCACTTGAACATAATGAATAAACAATGAATTATATAAAAAGATTAATAGTGCTAATATGTTATCTTCTCGCTTCATTGAACAATATTAAAATTAATTGTTTTAAGGTTGACTTTGTGTATTATTTAGATTCAGTAAATATAAGTAATAAAGGCCTAAATATAATGGTAAACCTTGGCATATCCATCATGGTAAGAATAGTAGATCGTAGAAAAAGAAAATATCAGATACATATAGGCAAGGTTGGGAAATTTGTATATATTAGACAAATTTTGACTTTATACTTATAATGTACTGTACTAAATTTTATATTAATTATTATGTGTACTAACTATATTAAACTGTACTAAGCTATACTAACTATACTAATTTTCCAACCCTGCACATAGGGATATGTTAAAAACTATTTTGAAAAATATTCAAAAAACAGTTTCATATTGAATATCGACAATTATTATAATATTCACATTGTTAATGTACAATCCTTACAAATTGTGATAGTTAGACAGGATATTCGAGTGGTGATTCTTTTAAGTTTACATAGTAAGCTAATAGTTATTTCAGTAAGTTAATAGTTCTTTTATATACCGCCAAATATATTCACACCTCAATTGATTAAGTTTTGTTATATATTGAAAAATATATTCAAACCTACAATGAATATATGATTCATCCACTATATATTGCCTAAATATTCAATATATTATCGAGTATATTTCTATATGTTAAGTCAAAATTAAACGTAAATTACGTTACAAATACAAGTATCATAAAATGTTTCAAGTAAATTTAATAAAGATTTATTAGTAAATAAATAAACTACAAGCTAAAAATACTAAACTAAGAGAATATAAAGAAAAATTAATCACAAATAAAAAAAGTAGCCTTGTGCTACTTTACAAAAAAAGGGTTGTACATAGTTATCGCTGAACTGATCAGATTGCATCTAGCAATTGATAGTTACTTTCTTGTCAAGAATTTAGTCTCCTTTATATACTTTTTAATATAAATTTAATATATCATATATGTTAGATATGTCTGATATATCAACTATGTCTAATATGTCAGTTATATTACATACAGTATATTAAATATGTCAAATATATCAGATATGTTTGATATGTTTGATATTTAGATCTACATTTTCTTGCATTACATAAATTAAATATATCTATTAAGTTGATCTTGTTAACTACGTCACTTACATAATTATTTATAACGTATTATATAGATCAATTATATTATGATAGTCCTGTTATAACATTCAAAGATAAGCTGATACTACTAACATATCTTAGGTAACCCACATGATCATAATTTTAGCTAATCCATATTTTACATCAGCGATTTCACATAACAAAGCAATCAATTCAAAGATCATTGATAGCAAATTGATTTTAAGGCATATTGACAAGTGATTCATCATAAATCTCAGTATTCCTTACCATAATCGTATGAGAGATTATATGGTAAGAAATTCTTCTGATAATAAAGTTTTGATAG